TTTGAATGTAAACCCAATGTGTTTTGATGCATACAGTAGAATGTGTTTTAAAACAGAATGGAAGTACTCTGAAACAGTACTGCGGCAGACATTCAAATTAATCACAAGTTACTCTCTGGTAATAGTGGTGTTTTTTAAGAGAGAGTGGTGAACTTGTGAAAACACCTTTTACACCTTTTGGGGGTTTCAGAACATGTAAAAGGCAGCATCAAGACTGTCTCTCTCATATATTAATTTCCAGTGATACATTTTAGAAATGTATTGAGATTAATAGACAGAGCTTTCATATTTGTCCATAGTTTGCTGAAAAATGGGACAGTGGGAATTGAATACTTTCCCTAGGGTAGGCAAATGCACTACTTATACTACACTTGCCAGGCTCATTGTGAGGTTATAAATGATGTTACATTCAAAATGTTTAGGGTTATGTAAGGTAACATGTACAGTGAGGGAAAAAAATATTTGATCCCCTGCTGATTTTGTACGTTTGCCCACTGACAAAGAAATTATCAGTCTATAATTTTAATGGTAGGTTTATTTGAACAGTGTGAGACAGAATAACAACAAAAATATCCAGAAAAACGGCATGTCAAAAATGTTATAAATTGATTTGCATTTTAATGAGGGAAATAAATATTTGACCCCTCCGCAAAACATTACTTAGTACTTGGTGGCAAAACCCTTGTTGGCAATCACAGAGGTCAGAAGTTTCTTGTAGTTGGCCACCAGGTTTGCACACATCTCAGGAGGGATTTTGTCCCACTCCTCTTTGCAGATCTTCTCCAAGTTATTAAGGTTTTGAGGCTGATGTTTGGCAACTCGAACCTTCAGCTCACTCCACAGATTTTCTATAGGATTAAGGTCTGGAGACTGACTAGGCCACTCCAGGACCTTAATGTGCTTCTTTTTGAGCCACTCCTTTGTTGCCTTGGCCATGTGTTTTGGGTCATTGTCATGCTGGAATACCCATCCACGACCCATTTTCAATGCCCTGGCTGAGGGAAGGAGGTTCTCACCCAAGATTTGACGGTACATGGCCCCGTCCATCGTCCCTTTGATGCGGTGAAGTTGTCCTGTCCCCTTAGCAGAAAAACACCCTCAAAGCATAATGTTTCCACCTCCATGTTTGACGGTGGGGATGGTGTTTTTGGGGTCATAGGCAGCATTCCTCCTTCTCCAAACACGGCGTGTTGAGTTGATGCCAAAGAGCTCCATTTTGGTCTCATCTGACCACAACACTTTCACCCAGTTCTCCTCTGAATCATTCAGATGTTCATTGGCAAACTTCAGACAGGCATGTATATGTGCTTTCTTGAGCAGGGGGACCTTGCGGTCGCGGCAGGATTTCAGTCCTTCACGGCGTAGTGTGTTACCAATTGTTTTCTTGGTGACTATGGTCCCAGCTGCCTTTAGATCATTGACAAGATCCTCCCGTGTAGTTCTGGGCTGATTCCTCACCGTTCTCATGATCATTGCAACTCCACGAGGTGAGATCTTGCATGGAGCCCCAGGCTGAGGGAGATTGACAGTTATTTTGTGTTTCTTCCATTTGCGAATAATCACACCAACTGTTGTCACCTTCTCACCAAGCTGCTTGTTGATGGTCTTGTAGCCCATTCCAGCCTTGTGTAGGTCTACAATCTTGTCCCTGACATCCTTGGAGAGCTCTTTGGTCTTGGCCACGGTGGAGAGTTTGGAATCTGATTGATTGATTGCTTCTGTGGACAGGTGTCTTTTTTACAGGTAACAATCTGAGATTAGGAGCACTCCCTTTAAGAGTGTGCTCCTAATCTCAGCTCGTTACCTGTATAAAAGACACCTGGGAACCAGAAATCTTTCTGATTGAGAGGGGGTCAAATACTTATTTCCCTCATTAAAATGCAAATCAATTTATAACATTTTTGACATGCGTTGTTCTGGATTTTTTTTTTGTTATTCTGTCTCTCACTGTTCAAATAAACCTACCATTCAAATTATAGACTGATCATTTCTTTGTCAGTGGGCAAACGTACAAAATCAGCAGGGGATCAAATACTTTTTTCCCTCACTGTATATAGCAGAGATAACATGTCCAACTTATAGCAGAGATAACATGTCCAACTTATAGCAGAGGTAACATGTCCAACTTATAGCAGAGATAACATGTCCAACTTATAGCAGAGATAACGTATCCAACTTATAGCAGAGATAACATGTCCAACTTATAGCAGAGATAACGTATCCAACTTATAGCAGAGATAACATGTCCAACTTATAGCAGAGATAACGCATCCAACTTATAGCAGAGGTAACATGTCCAACTTATAGCAGAGGTAACATGTCCAACTTATAGCAGAGGTAACATATCTAACTGTCACGATCGTCGGATATAGAGGACCAAGGCGCAGCGTGGAAGGTGAACATACTTATTTATTAAATGATACACGAACAAAACAACAAATCGATACGTGCCGTCCACAGGTACAAACCAACACGGAACAAGATCCCACAAACACTGTGGGAAAACCACCTGACTAAATATGGTTCCCAATCAGAGACAACCAGCAACAGCTGATACTCGTTGCCTCTGATTGAGAACCACTCTGGCCAACATAGATATACAAAAACTAGACTAGACACAACGAGCACAAAACATAAACTCTACACACCCTGGCTCAACTTAAAAGAGTCCCTAGAGCCAGGGCGTGACACTAACTTATAGCAGAGATAACATTTACAGCATAAAGTGGATATATACGTGACAACATGGATTTGAACCTGTGTCTCCTGCTTGTCAAAACACTGTCCACTCAGCCAGTCTTCAGACGTCACTGTTCTGATGAACCACCCTTGTTACGCTGAGCACATGGGGCCCTATTCAGACTTGAGATATACAGACTTAACATGGACTTCAGTCAATAAAACATGGGCATTCTTTGACATAAGTCCATGTTAAGTCAACTGATCTCAAGTCTGAATAGGACTTCCACCTTTATATTTTCAATGCTTTATTTAGATAGATTTGAAACATGACAACACAGAGGAGGAGTGAAAGTGCGACAAGCAGAATCGAACCGCTGACTTGTGGGACAGTAAGATAGCAAATTTGTTTGGAATGTTACCCACTCAATCACATCTCCACGTGCCATGTGAGGAACTTGTGAATCCCATTGAGTTAAAGCCTGAAGACAAATGTTTAGTTTAAAGACCAAAAGTGAACTTCAAACATTGTGCTGCCGTACTGTTCAGAATTCTCCTAATCTCAGGCATGGAGATGGAGAGAGGGCATTCGTGGCAGGACTGCCCTCTAGATCACTTTATGGTCAAGTGTAAAAACAGGCAAGTTTGCGGGCGCCTTCCCTCTATTTTGGTTCCATTATGAATTCAGACAGGTGAGAGCACACCAAATGCTCCAAGAAAGTGTGCGTCAATGAAAACGTGAGTACAAAATGTTATCAAATCGAAGAACAAAACAGAAAAGGAATTCACTCAACAAGAATATGTGTTTTGTGTAGCATTTCGTCCGCTAATGGCTGCTATGCTAATAGTCCAAGGCGAGCAGTAATTTTGATTCATTGATCAGTTTTCTTTATGCTCTATATAGTTATGCATTTTCTTTGTTTTTTGTTGCAAATTAAGGCCTGCTTTTAACTTAATACTTCTGGCTTGAGTTTATCAACACGCCATACAAGAGCAGGGAATAAACAGTAAGTGGAGGGAATCCCATTTACAGGATTTGGAAACTCCAGAGAAGGGATCTAATTCCGCACTAGACAGAACTCGAAACACCATGATAGTTTTTTAAACCTTTTCTGGTAGTGCTCCCTGTCTCTTGCAAGGTGTTGCACAACTCTTGATTAAGTAGTGTTACAACACACCGTGTCATGTTTCAAAACATCTCAGGATGATGTTTCAATACTCTTAAGTTTGTGGCAGCTCAGTTTCCACTAGGTTTAGTGTTTCAAAGCATTTTATTTGAACAGTGTAGCATCCTCCCACCATTTACAGCGCTCAAGCCTTTGGCCAATCAGAACTCCCCATCTGAGCCCCTGTCCCTATGGGCGCGTATTAACGAAGCATCTGAGTAGTAGTGCTGATCTAGGATCAGTTTCCCCCTGTCTATAAAATCGCATTCATTATGATCTGAAAGGCTAAAACTGATCCTCAATCAACACTCCAAGATCATCACCGCTTTGTAAATACGAGCCCTGGTCTCTATGGTGACCTTGCAGAGAGTAGGATGGTGTTTCCCCTGATCAGGGAAAAGGTTAGTTTAGTATTGTCCCCTCTACTGGTTATGAGTGGGGGAGGGTAAGCTGATCTTAGACCTGTGCCCAGTAACCTCTTGTAGAGTGACCTTGTAGCCTGCTGCACCCTGCTGGCATTCTCTTACAGTGGGTCAGCACTACTCTGTCTCAGCAGCACAAACAGTGGGGTCACTCACACACACACACACACACACACAGACACTCATTGACCACACACACACTCTTTCTCACTAACCAGCCCACACACACATGCCATCAGAAGAGAGTGCTTTGTGTATTCACTGACTGGGCAGCAGCTAGAGAGAGCGAGAGAGAGAGAGGTGGGTGGGTGGTGGAGGGGAGGAGAGAGGGAGAGATAGATTTCCAGAGAAAGAGGGGAGCGAGAGAGAGTGAGTGAGAGAGAGGATTGTGATAGAGGATAGACAGTATTAGAGAGATACAGGAAGAAGCTCTACAGAGAGTTAATTGGAGAGAGAACGAAAGCGACAGACCAGACATCCTACACACTAGAGAGATAGAGAGAGATCAGAGCAGGAAAGAGAGAGAAATCAGAGCAGGAGGGAGAGAGAGAGAGAGAGAGAGAGAGAGTGAGAGAGAGAGAGAGAGAGAGAGAGAGAGAGCTGCCTCTGAGACAGAGAAGGACAGACAGAGCCAGACCACCAGACAGTCTGAAAGCCTAGTAGCTGAGAGCTGTGCTGAGAGCTGTGGCTGTTGGCAGCATTGATTTCTGGGAGCTGTAAACTGCTGGTACACATGGCGTGGTGCTGCTGCCCTCCTCTCCGGGCCTCCTCGTCCTCCTGCTGCTCTCTGCTCCTCAAACGCTGCCGTCTCTTCCCAGGTTGGTTCCACTTCACCCTGCCGTCTGTACCCACAGCCTGTAGCTGAGGCTAGTAGTGACATGAGAAGACAGGGAGCTGTAACTCTCTCCTTCAGACAGATACTGCCGCTGTAGCTATATCTATATGATATGGGTAACAGGCTATCCCATGAAGGTATAGTACAGTACAAGGCTTGGTGTGTCAGTGTGACGCTGTGTTAGGTGGTGTCTGATTGTGCTTGTTGTGTGTACTGTAGTGGCAGTCCTGTCAGTCATATTGTTACTAAACTGGGCAGTTTGTTGTGTGTTCTGTAGTGGCAGTCCTGTCAGTCATATTGTTACTAAACTGGGCAGTTTGTTGTGTGTTCTGTAGTGGCAGTCCTGTCAGTCATATTGTTACTAAACTGGGCAGTTTGTTGTTTTCTGTGTCTCAGTGCAGGATAACAGATCAGTCAATCATTGTGTATTGTATTGTCTTTATGCTTTGTCCTGTGTAGAGAGTCTCTCTGCTATGTTGTGTAATATTACCACTATTATGACAAGGTCAAAAAGCATGAAGACAATTTTGACATTGACTGTCAGCCGTGGCTTACCAATACAGTTTTGTATACAATACACAAAGGCTTAGCATTGTTTTGTTGTATTTAGAGGGCGTGCTTGTCCTTGTCTGAGTGTGTTCTAGTCTGAATGTTCTCTCGTCTAACTGAGCTGTTGTCTCATGTGTAACGCTCAGTGCTGTGTGGGGTTGTTGGCTGATGATGTCAGTGCATATGTGTGTCTGTGGGTCATTGTGTGACCTCTCTGCTTCTTCCCATTGTGTTTCCCATCCCCTGTCAACCCTTACCACAGTGTTTCCCAATACCTGTCTCTGGACCCCAGGGGGTGCATGATTTGTTTTTTGCACGACCACTACATATCTAAATCTAAAAATCAACTCATCATCAAGCTTTGATTATTTGAACCAGGTGTGCAGTGCTAGTAGCTAGCGCGAGTAGCTATCTCGAGATCAGGGTGGCTGGTGAGGCCATAGTGATAGGGCAAAAGCAAACATTTGCACCCCTTGGGCGCCCCAGGGCCAGGATTGGAAAACACTGTCTTACGATGCCTGATGGCTAGCTGTTTTTCGCGATACATGTCTGTTCCCTGTTTGCTGTTTGATCTACACCATTTTCAACCAACACAAGCTTCCTTCAGGTCTAGTAAATATGTCCTTCCTTGTGTCCTTCCCCTCATCAGAGTATTGATGGAGATATAAGGAGAGGAAGCCACTTTAGACTATTGACATACACTCCTTGATGGTGTTTACTACTTCATGATACACTAATCTCCTTCCCCCTCCAATAGACATTTACTGATGTGTTACACTAATCTCCTTCCCCCTCCTATAGACATTTACTGATGTGTTACACTAATCTCCTTCCACCCTCCCAGACATTTATTGATGTTTGTGTCCCACCAATCTCATTCCCTCCTCCCAGACATTTACTGATGTGTGTGTCCCACTAATCTCATTCCCCCTCCCAGACATTTACTGATGTGTGTCACACTAATTTCCATCCCCCCTCCCAGACATTGGGCGCCCTCCTCTTGCCCAGGCGTTGCAGTCGCATGTCAGCTCTTACCACGCCTGGATAAACATTTTATCAGCTGACCACATCATATGTTCTAGCAATCTGGTGCCCGACGGCACAGTCGATGATGTGCCACGCAACCGTTGGTTGATGCATGCAACGTCTGACCATGCAACGGGAACCATATACAGATGTGTGTCACACTTATCTCCTTCCCCCCTCCCAGACATCTCCCCTGCTGAGCTGGATGCACTATGGAGGGAACCACCGTACACGCTAGCGGGAACCAATAAGCACTTCCCAGGAAATGATGTTATGAATCCAGGTAGGGTACAGTAAAAGCCTTAAAGCGTTTCTTTTACCTTCACAAAACATCCAGCTGATTCTATCCCAATTATGATCCTCCTTCCCAAGTCCTACATGAGTTAAATTGCCCAGACTCATTTGGAGTTTGAACGCTTCTGGATTTGTACTGTAGCAAACAATGAAACATTGTATTACGCAGTAGCCTAAACAACATAACAGTGGTAATTTGAGCGGGAGGATTCTTTCAGGCTGTTGTGTCATGCCACCGGTCACCGGTCAGTCCCAGATTGAGGATGTGTTGGGGACATCCTCTCTGTACAATGGGACAACAACATGGGGAAGCCAGCCCAGATGCTCATAAAGCCTATGTGTGTGTGTTTCTATGTGTGTGTGTGTGCGTGTGTGCGCGCAAGTGCGCATATGTGTGAAGCCACCACCGGTCATAAAGCCCTGTCAGGACAACCAGAGCAGCTCATTATATTGTAATAGACCATCTGGGAGATGATAGACTCTTCATGTCCTGTTGATGTTCTGGAGGAAACAGACTAATCACTATTGAAACCCTCATCACAGAATATACTGTACACAAGCAGTTATGTAACTTTAGTGTGAATGTTCTCTCATACAGTAAAAGAGACAAATCACCAACTTTGTCTGGTTACCTCGACTGGTTTGCATTCCGGAAGGATTGGCAATGAAGCAATGTGGACACTGTACAGTGTCTTGCTACTGAATGATGCTAAATGCTGGTGTTGTTTTGTAGCCATGTCCACTATTTGATCTCCATCCCCCTTCATAGTTGTCACATAACAAGGTCGATGGATGATCTTGCACTTGCTTACAGAGCACATGTTTCTGACACAAAAGCCTCTTTTAAAATCAACCCCCAAACAACTGTCTCACCCCCTTCCTTCCTGAGGGTACCTCTGACCTGACCTCTGTTTCCTGTCTTCTCCAGGGGTGGAGGGGGAGGAGGAGGAGGGGCCGGGGGTGGAGTCTGGGGACGGGGAGGCGGAGCCGGACAGTTACTGGAAGAGGAAGGAGGCATTCACCAGAGGAAGCACCGTGTCACTGGCCGTGGGAGAGAGGTTCTCCTCAGGTACTGTTCTACTCACAGATACTCTGTATGGATGTGTTCCAAATGACACCCTCATACCTGTATAGGGTGCTACTTTTAACCCATACGGTGCTATTTGGGACAGCCAGGGTGTTTCTCTCTCTATTCTTACTATGGATGTGCTAACTGCTAATGTAGTGGTGTTAACAGCTACTGGTCAATGGTTGTGTGGTGTGATGCTGATTGTGGATCTGTTTGTGTGGTGGTGTTAACAGCTACTGGTCATGGTTGTGTGGTGTGATGCTGATTGTGGATCAGTTTGTGTGGTGGTGTTAACAGCTACTGGTCATGGTTGTGTGGTGTGATGCTGATTGTGGATCAGTTTGTGTGGTGGTGTTGATGCTATCACTGCACAGCAGTCTAAATGATGTGCCTATCACTTTATCATTGATGTTGTCTGTGTGTATGTCAACATCCTGCAAGAAAACTGGTGACTCCTCATTTTCCCTTAACGTTAATGTTGCAGTAGACTCAGCTACTTAGCTACTCTATGATACTCTGTGACTTTCCTCCAGCAGGTTCCTGTGTAGCTCTCTCCCAAATGGACCTAATGTTAAAAGGTCCCTTCAAACATCCACTAAGAGTCACTCAAGGCTGTAATAGATCTGTTATTCCTAGTCTAACACTGAGCCACTCAATGAGCTCACTTAGCATGGCTCTATAATACACTCACTTAGCATGGCTCTATAATACACTCACTTATGATGGCTCTATAATACACTCACTTAGCATGGCTCTATAATACACTCACTTAGCATGGCTCTATAATACACACACTTATGATGGCTCTATAATACACTCACTTATGATGGCTCTATAATACACTCACTTAGCATGGCTCTATAATACACTCACTTAGCATGGCTCTATAAAACACTCACTTAGCATGGCTCTATAATACACTCACTTAGCATGGCTCTATAATACACTCACTTAGCATGGCTCTATAATACACTCACTTATGATGGCTCTATAATACACTCACTTAGCATGGCTCTATAATACACTCACTTAGCATGGCTCTATAATACACTCACTTATGATGGCTCTATAATACACTCACTTAGCATGGCTCTATAATACACTCACTTATGATGGCTCTATAATACACTCACTTAGCATGGCTCTATAATACACTCACTTATGATGGCTCTATAATACACTCACTTATGATGGCTCTATAATACACTCACTTAGCATGGCTCTATAATACACTCACTTATGATGGCTCTATAATACACTCACTTAGCATGGCTCTATAATACACTCACTTATGATGGCTCTATAATACACTCACTTAGCATGGCTCTATAATACACTCACTTAGCATGGCTCTATACTACACTCACTTATGATGGCTCTATAATACACTCACTTAGCATGGCTCTACAATACATTGACTTAGCATGGCTCTATAATACACTCACTTAGCATGGCTCTATAATACACTCACTTAGCATGGCTCTATAATACACTCACTTAGCATGGCTCTATAATACACTCACTTAGCATGGCTCTATAATACACTCACTTAGCATGGCTCTATAATACACTCACTTACCTTCTGGGAAAAGTTACTTAAACAGCTTAACTCCGCATGTTGATGTATACATGACAATATCACAGTATCAGTCAATACGCCTACCGGTAATGTCTAGACTGACAGTGTGTGTGTGTGCACGTGTGCATTCATGCGTGTGTGTGCGTGCATTTGTGTGTTTGTGTGTGTGTGTTTGCCTGCGTGCGTGCGTGTGTAGACGTGGTGCTGGTGTTCAGCGGTCGGCGGTGCTCAGGTGTAATACCTGACTCTGAACTACAGGAGGCGCTCCGTACTAGACTCAGGGTCGTCGAGAGCAACAGTCAGGACGTCATCCAGCTCTTCAAGGTTAGTCACAGGTCAGGGGTCAGGGGTGAGAGGTCAAGGCATGTCCCCGCCTAGACCAGGGATGCAGTTCCAACCGTTGTCCTGCTAAAAATTGTTTCTCCCTGATGTAGGGGCTAAGGGGTTGGTTTAGCATAAAGGTGACCTTCTCTGCATCCTCTCTGCTACTTCATCAATGTCTTTGGTTCTTCTGCCTCCCTATAGGACCTGTCTGCCCGTCTGCTGTCTGTCCACGCTGAGAAGGACAGCTTTGTCATCACCTTCAAGACTGTAGAGGAGATCTGGAAGTTCTCTACCTACCTGGCTCTAGGTATGCTGTACTATCCTCGTCTACCTACCTGGCTCTAGGTATGCTGTACTATCCTAGTCTACCTACCTGGCTCTAGGTATGCTGTACTATCCTAGTCTACCTACCTGGCTCTAGGTATGCTGTACTATCCTAGTCTACCTACCTGGCTCTAGGTATGCTGTACTATCCTCGTCTACCTACCTGGCTCTAGGTATGCTGTACTATCCTAGTCTACCTACCTGGCTCTAGGTATGCTGTACTATCCTAGTCTACCTACCTGGCTCTAGGTATGCTGTACTATCCCCGTCTACCTACCTGGCTCTAGGTATGCTGTACTATCCTAGTCTACCTACCTGGCTCTAGGTATGCTGTACTATCCTAGTCTACCTACCTGGCTCTAGGTATGCTGTACTATCCTAGTCTACCTACCTGGCTCTAGGTATGCTGTACTATCCTAGTCTACCTACCTGGCTCTAGGTATGCTGTACTATCCTAGTCTACCTACCTGGCTCTAGGTATGCTGTACTATCCTAGTCTACCTACCTGGCTCTAGGTATGCTGTACTATCCTAGTCTACCTACCTGGCTCTAGGTATGCTGTACTATCCTAGTCTACCTGACCTGGATGAAACTCATTAACAGATTCTGAAGGCTGATTATTTTGTCCGGTCTGGTTAGAAGTTGCCAATAGGCACAGATCTAGGATCAGCGTCCCACACCCAATCCTAACCTAAGCCATTGACCTGGAAAGACCAGACCTTCATCAGGATGTAGGGACAACTTCATCTTACTTTGTTGTATATCCAGGCTATGTGGCGCGGTGCCTGGAGAATTTCCTGTGTGACCAGTCATTGTGGCTGGACACTGAGCTGCTGAGGGACCTGGAGATCACTGTGACTGTAGATGAGGAACACCTGGCCACACTCTACCTGGGACTGCTGCTGCAGGAGGGTGAACGAACACCTTTTGAACACATTATGAACTCTTTATAAACACCCTATGAACACCTTATGAACACCTTATGACATATTATAACCTTATTATGAACAGCACCTGGCCACACTACCTGGGACTGCTGCTGTAAAGGGTAGGGATGGACAATTGAACTCCTTATGACAGGTTATGAACACCATATCAGCATCTTATGAAGTCTTTATAGACATCTTATGAACAGTTTACAAACTACTAATTGACACATTATGAAGACCTTATGAACTCTATGAACTCCTTATGGACAGCTGATGTGCTCTACTTTCTTGACCCTCATCATCAACATCAGTTTACATCACTCTCTCCTCAGAGCAGAACAGATGCATAACATGTCTTATTATTCAACCACTGACCTGAAGGAACATTTTCATGGTATTTCAGAACAAGTTGTTCCAGATACCTAGAAATGAAATACAGCTAAACTTAAACTGATGACATGTTCTGAAATACAGCAAAACAGCGACAGTGCCCTTATTCACTATACAGTTTGTCATCCATTAACTTAATGTAATTTAGAGAGCTATTTTTCCTGCATTGCCATTGTACACTGTCTGTGTAGGCATAATGTTTTAAGAGGAAGTACTCTTCTCCCTAATGCCTGAGAGGAATCAATAGCCAGTGAAAGGAAGACGTGTGTGTTGAGAATTGATTTTTAAAACTGTATTCTGTGAAGCAGGACAGAGCCTCAGTTCTATGAAAAGATCCCTTTAGTTCAGTCGGATATTCATTCTTTACAGAAATCTGCATCCCCTGTGTGTGTGTGTGTGTGTGTGTGTGTGGTGTTCTTTGCGTGTTATTCACCTGTATGTATCTCTCTCCCCCAGGTTCGTTCTTTGCCAAGGCGCTGGTGAGCAGTGGCAAGCATAGTGAGGAGGAGGAGGAGTTGTGTTTCAGACGTAACGACTTGCTGATGGTTAGAGACACGGGGCAGGACAATCACTGGGAGGGCACCCTTCTCTCCACCGGGCAACACGGACTAGTGCCTGTCAACACCATGCAGCCGCTGCCATACCCCTTCTACCAGTGAGCTACCTAATCCCTAACCCCTAACCCATACCCCTTCTACCAATGAGTTACCTGTACCTAGTCCGGATCCGGCCCGCAAAGGGGTCCAACTGTTTAAGTTGAGTAAAAAAAAAACATAAAAAAAAACTCAATATACTTTCAAATGACTAAAAAAACAAATCAAAATTGGGTAGAAATGATAATGGACCTATATTCACACAGTTTCTTGATTGTCCAGATTGCTAATGATCACTAGACAGTCAGGGCAATGGATAGACTATTTTTGGCACATTTTGACTGCAAGGAAATATAAGACATTATCAGTGCTCCTCTCCGGACCACGTTGAAGACCAAATGCGGCCCCCGGGGCTAAATGAGTTCGACACCCCTGCCCTAACCCATACCCCTTCTACCAGTGAGTTACCTAGTCCATACCCCCTAACCCATACCCCTTCTACCAGTGAGTTACCTAGTCCCTAGCCCCTAACCCATACCCCTTCTACCAGTGAGTTACCTAGTCCATACCCCCTAACCCATACCCCTTCTACCAGTGAGTTACCTAGTCCCTAGCCTCTAACCCATACCCCTTCTACCAGTGAGTTACCTAGTCCCTAGCCCCTAACCCATACCCCTTCTACCAGTGAGTTACCTAGTCCCTAGCCCCTAACCCATACCCCTTCTACCAGTGAGTTACCTAGTCCATACCCCCTAACCCATACCCCTTCTACCAGTGAGTTACCTAGTCCCTAGCCCCTAACCCATACCCCTTCTACCAGTGAGTTACCTAGTCCATACCCCCTAACCCATACCCCTTCTACCAGTGAGTTACCTAGTTCCTAGCCCCTAAGTCATACCCCTTCTACCAGTGAGTTACCTAGTCCCTACCCCCTAACCCATACCCCTTCTACCAGTAAGTCAAATTACATCCTATGCAGTATATACACCTTATAACATTACACAGTGACATACTCAGTCACACTATAAGCTATAAACCTCTATTCTTCATTGTCACACTTTTATTTCCTCTCACCTCATATTTTGTAGTGAAATATGGCAGCCATTTTGTGCCAAACTGATGTGTATCCTGTTTGTGTAGGTGGTTCCTGAGGAAGTACCCTGACTGTGCCGGATGCTCCCCTTCAGAGAGAGGACAGTTTGACCACCATATAGGTGAGGCCCTAACCCTAACCCTAACCCTAACCCTAACCCTAACCCTAACCCTAACCCTAACCCTAACCCTAACCCTAACCCTCACCCTAACCCTAACCCTCACCCTCACCCTCACCCTCACCCTCACCCTAACCCTAACCCTAACCCTAAGCCTAACCCTCACCCTCACCCTAACCCTAACCCTTCAGAAAGAGGACAGTTTGACCACCCTATAGGTGAGGCCCAACCCTAACCCTAACCCTAACCCTAACCCTCACCCTCACCCTCACCCTAACCCTAACCCTAACCCTAACCCTAACCCTAACCCTAACCCTAACCCTCACCTCACCCTAACCCTAACCCTAACCCTAACCCTAACCCTAACCCTAACCCTCACCCTAACCCTAACCCTCACCCTCACCCTCACCCTCACCCTCACCCTCACCCTAACCCTCACCCTCACCCTCACCCTAACCCTAACCCTAACCCTAACCCTAACCCTAACCCTAACCCTCACCCTAACCCTAACCCTTCAGAAAGAGGACAGTTTGACCACCCTATAGGTGAGGCCCTAACCCTAACTCTTCAGAGAGAGGATAGTTTGATCACCCTATACCTACACTCATGCCATGGCCAGTGTTAAATACAGATACTAGGTATTTCCTCCAACCCCCTCTCCTTTCCCCTCCCCCTGCAGTAACTGGTTCCTGTGAGGCTGTAGTTGACCATAACCCAGTAGGTTGTGATGAGCTCCAACTGAGTAGAGGTGACCTGATTGAGATACAGGGGATGCTACTTCGTGGTCTGGACCTGTTCATAGGAACACACTGCTCTACAGGACACACCGGATTCGTACACAAGGCTCACGTCAAGCCACTCAACGCCAAACCACTGTAAGAGCAATACATTTACATTTTTACATTTTAGTCATTTAGCAGACACTCATATCCAGAGCGACTTACAGTTAGCGCATTCATCTTAAGATAGCTAGGTGGGACAACCACATATCACAGGCATATTAAGGACATGTTCCTCAATAAAGTAGCTATAAAGTAGGGTTGGGCAGGGCCTCTGCTGTCCTAGCTTCAGCGGGAAGCTAGTTCCACCATTGGGCTGCCAGGACAGAGAAGAGCTTGGACTGGGCTAAGCGGGAGCTGCCCTCCCGTAGGGGTGGGAGGCCCAGGAGATCAGATGGGGCAGAATGGAGAGCTCGGGTTGGGGTGTAGGGTTTGAGCATAGGGAGGGGCAGTTCCTCTTGCTGCTCTGTAGGTAAGCACCATGGTCTTGTAGTGGATGTCATCTTCGACTGGAAGCCATTGGAGTGTGCGGAGGAGCGGGGTGACATGGGAGAACTTGGGAAGGTTGAAAACCAGGCGGCTGCAGCGTTCTGGATAAGTTGCAGGGGTTTGATGGCATAACAGCATTACAATACCAAACCACTGTGAGGGCTATACATAACAGCATTACAATACCAAACCACTGTTAGGGAAATACATAACAGCATTACAATACCAAACCACTGTGAGGGCAATACATAACAGCATTACAATACCAAACCACTGTTAGGGCTATACATAACAGCATTACAATACCAAACCACTGTTAGGGCAATACATAACAGCATTACAATACCAAACCACTGTTAGGGCAATACATAACAGCATTACAATACCAAACCACTGTTAGGGCTATACATAACAGCATTACAATACCAAACCACTGTTAGGGCTATACATAACAGCATTACAATACCAAACCACTGTGAGGGCAATACATAACAGCATTACAATACCAAACCACTGTTAGGGCTATACATAACAGCATTACAATACCAAACCACTGTGAGGGCAATACATAACAGCATTACAATACCAAACCACTGTGAGGGCAATACATAACAGCATTACAATACCAAACCACTGTGAGGGCTATACATAACAGCATTACAATACCAAACCACTGTGAGGGCAATACATAACAGCATTACAATACCAAACCACTGTGAGGGCAATACATAACAGCATTACAATACCAAACCACTGTGAGGGCAATACATACAAAATATTATGAATTTATACCGTTTTTGCTGTGAACAGTTATTGTTAACACAAATAGGAGTTTGTTCCACAATTATGTGTTCACAAATTATTTGTGCACAATCTAATTTACTCAATTTCTGTTTTCTCCTAAAACATGTTTTTATTCACCCCTCAACTCTTCTCAGTCTTCTAGGAACAGTTAGGACAGTGGACAATGTGTTATGTTTTCTCATTCTGTTCATATTTACTTGGTCTATCTGTTTATCTGTTGTCAATAGTAGAAGCTTCAGGTGGAGGGATGGAGGTGTAGAGAGATGGAGAGATGGAGGGGTGGAGGGATGGAAGGATGGAGGGTTAAAGGGCGTGGGTAAAGGGATGGAGGTGTGGAGAGATGAGGGATGGAGGGATGGAAGGATGGGAGGGATGGAGGGATGGAGGATGGAGGGATGGAAGGATGGAGGGATGGAGGGATGGAGGGATGGAGGGATGGAAGGATGGAGGGATTAGGGATGGCGGATGGAGGGATGTGAGGGATGGGGGATGGAGGGATGGAGGGATGAATGGAGGTGAGGGTGGAGTGTTGGAGGGATGGAGGATGGGGGTGGAGGTGTGGATGGAGTGTGAGGATGGAGGATGGAGGGTGGAGGGATGGTTGGGGAGGGGTTGGGTGTTGGAGTGGAATTGTGTGTAGTGGAGGGATTTGGAGGGATGGTGGATTTGGGGTGGAGGGATGGTGGGGTGGTATGCGGGATGGTAGTGGGGGATGGAGGTGATGGATGGAGGGATGGCAGGGGGGATGTTGAGGGATGGGGGGATTGGAAGGATGGAAGGGTGGAGGGATGGAAGGATGGAAGGGTGGAGGGATGGATGGATGGAGGTATGGAGGGATGGAAGGGTGAGGGATGGAGGGGAGGTTGAGAGCAGAGTCATGTGGGTGATAATGCTTTCTTTGTCTCTCTCCCCCTCCCTCTCTCTGTCCTCTCACTACTCTCTCGCTCGCTCTCTCTCACTCGCTCTCAGAGACAGACAACTGGTGTTTCTGAGTGAGGAGGAGCGTGCGTCTCTGTCCCAGGTTAACCCCTGCAGTACTGAACCCAGAGACAACGGCCTGCTAGAGAGACTCTTCTCCTCTGACATCAGTACTGTCTACAGACTAGGTAGGAGAGGATCCCTCAGTCTATACAGTATAGGGAATTATTGAGTACTGTCAGACTACTGTAGATAGGGACCGACTGTGTAATACTGAGTACTGTCAGACAACTGTATTTGTATTTGTATTTATTATGGATCCCCATTAGTTCCTGCCAAGGCAGCAGCTACTCTTCCTGGGGTCCAGCAAAATTATGGAGAGTTATACATTAAAAAAAACATTACAATGCATTCATAACAGAGTTCACAGCACACTAAGTGTGTGCCCTCAGGCCCCTACTCCACTACCACATATCTACAACACAAAATCAATGTGTACGTGTGTGTATAGAGCGTACATTATCATGTGTGTGTATGCATGTGTCTGTGCCTATGTTTGTGTTGTTTCACAGTCCCCCCGTTCCATAAGGTGTATTTTTATCTTTTTTAAAATCTGATTCTACTGCTTGCATCAGTTCACCTGATGTTGAATAGAGTTCCATGTAGTCATGGCTCTATGTAGGACTGTGCGCCTCCCATAGTCTGGATCTCTGGTGGCATGTCTTGTGGGGTATGCATGGGTGTCTGAGCTGTGTGCCAGTCGTTCAAACAGACAGCTCGGTGCTTTCAACATGTCAACACCTCTCACAAACACAAGCAGTGATGAAGTCAATCTCTCCTCCACTTTGAGCCAGGAGAGATTGACATGCATATTATTAATATTAGCTCTATGTGTACATCCAAGGGCCAGCCCTGCTGCCCTGTTTTGAGCCAATTGCAATTTTCCTAAGTCCCTCTTTGTGGCACCTGACCACACGACTGAACAGTAGTCCAGGTGCGATAAAACTAGAGCCTGTAGGACCTGCCTTGTTGATAGTGCTGTTAAGAAGGTAGAGTAGCGCTTTATTATGGACAGACTTCTCCCCATCTTAGCTACTGTTGTATCAGTATGTTTTGACCATGACAGTTTACAATCCAGGGTTACTCCAAGTCACCTCAATTTGCTCAATCTCCACATTATTATTACAATATTTAAATGAGGTTTGGAGTTTAGTGAATGATTTGTTCCATATACAATGCTTTTCAGTTTTAGAAATATTTAGGACTAACTTATTCCTTGCCACCCACTCTGAAACTAACTGCAACTCTTTGTTAAGTGTTGCAGGCATTTCAGTCACTGTAGTAGCTGATATGTATAGTGTTGAGTCATCAGCATACATAGACACACTGGCTTTACTCAAAAGTAAAGATTGAAAAAAGTAATGGGCCTCGACAGCTGCCCTGGGGAATTCCTGATTCTACCTGGATTATGTTGGAGAGGCTTCCATTAAAGAACACCCTCTGTGTTCTGTTAGACAGGTAACTCTGTATCCACAATATAGCACATACGTTATTCCAGCAGCAAACTATGATCGATAATGTCAAAAGCCGCACTGAAGTCTAACAAAACAGCCCCCACAATCTTTTTATCATCAATTTCTCTCAGCCAATCATCAGTCATTTGTGTAAGTGCTGTGCTTGTTGAATGTCCTTCTCTATAAGCATGCTGAAAGTTAGTTGTCAAATTTTTTTTACTGTAAAATAGCATTGTATCTGGTCAAAAACAATTTTTTCCAATAGTTTACAAAGGGTTGGTAACAGGCTAATTGGTCGGCTATTTCAGCCAGTAAAGGGGGCTTTACTATTCTTAGGTAGCGGAATGGCTTTTGCTTCCCTCCAAGCCTGGGGGCACACACATTCTAGTAGGCTTAAATTGAAAATATGGCAAATAGGAGTGGCAATATCGTCCGCTATTATCCTCAGTAACATTCCATATAATAATTGTTTCACCTCTTCCACACTCACTTTACGGAATTCAAAATTACAACGTTTGTCTTTCATAATTTGGTCAGAAATACTTGGATGTGTAGTGTCAGCAATTGTTGCTGGCATGTCATGCCTAAATTTGCTAATCTTGCCAATGAAAAAATCATTAAAGTAGTTGAAAATATCAGTTGGTTTTGTGATGAATAAGCCATCTGATTCAATGAATGATGGAGCTGAGCTTGCCTTTTTTCCCAAAATGTAATTTAAGGTGCTCCAAAGCTCTTTACTATCATTCTTTATGTCATTTATCTTTGTTTCATTGTGTAGTTTCTTCTTCTTTTTATTCAGTTTAGTCACATGATTTCTCAATTTGCAATACGTTTGCCAATCGGTTGTGCAGACAGACTTATTTGCATTTCTTTTGCCTCATCCCTCTCAACCATACAATTCCTCATCAAACCACGGGGTTTTAACAGTTTTTACAGTCATTTTCTTAATGGGTGCATGCTTATTAGTAACTGGAATAAGCAATTTCATAAATGTTTCAAGTGCAGTGTCTGTTTGCTCCTCATTACACACCACGGACCAACATATATTCTTTACATCAACAACATAGGAATCACTACAAAACTTATTGTATGACCTCTTATACACAATATTAGGCCCAGCCTTTGGAACTTTGGTTTTCCTAGATATCCCAGGTGTCCTAGGTAGCCATATTACTTCAACAGTATTTAACATGGGATCCTCTCTAATCTTCACAGGAATGTGGTTCTGAATATAAACAGCAACACCTCCACCATTTCTATATTTTCTTTAAATGTTATAACCTTGTATTGATACAACTGTGTCATCAAAGGTATTATCTAAGTGAGTTTCAGAGATAGTCAGAATATGAATGTCACTAGCAAATTATTGATTTCACTAAACCTTGTTTCTTAAGCTACATATGTTAACGTAGGCAATTATGTAGGTAGGGAACCACTGTGTTTTACTGAGTACTGTCAGACTACTGTAGGTAGGGAACCACTGTGTTATACTGAGTACTGTCAGACTACTGTAGGTAGGGAACCACTGTGTTATACTGAGTACTGTCAGACTACTGTAGGTAGGGAACCACTGTGTTTTACTGAGTACTGTCAGACTACTGTAGGTAGGGAACCACTGTGTTTTACTGAGTACTGTCAGACTACTGTAGGTAGGGAACCACTGTGTTATACTGAGTACTGTCAGACTACTGTAGGTAGGGAACCACTGTGTTTTACTGAGTACTGTCAGACTACTGTAGGTAGGGAACCACTGTGTTTTACTGAGTACTGTCAGACTACTGTAGGTAGGGAACCACTGTGTTATACTGAGTACTGTCAGACTACTGTAGGTAGGGAACCACTGTGTTATACTGAGTACTGTCAGACTACTGTAGGTAGGGAACCACTGTGTTATACTGAGTACTGTCAGACTACTGTAGGTAGGGAACCACTGTGTTTATACTGAGTACTGGTCAGACTACTGTAGGTAGGGAACCACGTGTTTATACTGAGTAACTGTCCAGGACTACTGGTAGGTAGGGACAACCAAGTGTTATACTGAGTACTGTCAGGATATGTAGGTAGGGAACCGGGGGTACTGTCAGAACTACTGAGGTAGGGAACCACTGTGTTTTACTGAGTTACTGTCCAGGACTACTGTAGGAGGGACCACTGTGGTATACTGAGTAACTGTCAGACTACTGTAGGTAGGGAACCCGGTGTTTTATACTGCGTACTGTCAGACTACTGTAGATAGGGAACCCCCAGGTGTTATACTGAATACTGTCAGACTATGTAGGTAGGGAACCCACTTGTGTTTTTACTGAGTAACTGTCAAGACTACTTGGTAGATAGGGAACCACTGTGTTTGTATGTATGTCAAGTACCATTTTTTTTACTGTGAAATGGCGGTTAAATATATCAATTTCTTCGCCACAGATAGACTGGATCAGTCTGACTTTACGTACATCAGAAACCAACCAAAACAAGGTTAGTAATACGTTATCTAATAACAAGGTAATAAGATGTTTATCAGAGTTAATACGTTGTTTATCCGATTCTTAATATAGCCTCAGCTAAATGGTTGAGGATTGTTTAGAGGCCAATATATCCTTCTGTCTCAGTCAAAGCCAAGAACATTTTCTCCCTGACAGCTGTAGATGTTTTGAAAACAACAGAATAAGTAGGCCAGCACACTGAAACCGGAACATAGTCAAACTCTTCACTTTTCTTACCTGTTTAGGAGGAGAGAAGGAAACTAATAATGTTTTAGTTTTTGCTTAGATTTCATTTAACAAGGGACTGGGGCGCAACTTTCACTGGGGACGAGGGGGACATGTTCCCCTCACATTCTGAAATTGCATTTTTGTCCCCCCCCCCCAGTTTTATCATTGGAATGTGATTACAAAATGAGGCAACAGTGTGCTTTAGGACCATGCAGACGCCTCCGAGCGGTCGGGTAGGCTGTTTGGAGTGTTTATCCAACAAAAATAAATACATAATAATAATAATAATAAGTTATGCCCCCCCCCCCCACTTCTAAAACCAAAGTTGCGCCCCTGACAAGGGAGATCATATTTAATTATTTTGTTGAAAAGGCAGTATACACATTGCAGCACCAAGTTGAACTGCAGTCAAGGAAGTTTCATAGCTACATTTCTAATGCAGTTTACTTGAACAATGTACAGTACATGGAGTTTCATATACAGTGTATCTAAACCCTTACACTCAGTGTTCATATCTTTCTCTCTCAGAGCATAAGCCCCACGCCAGCTCCCGGCAGTCCATCATCTCAGAGAAGAGTGACGCTACGCCCCCCTACCACTCCTCCCCCCGCCCCTCCCTCTCTCACTCCTCGCCCCGCCCCTCCTTCTACGCTTCACAGAATGCTTTGGGGCGTGGCGGTGACGGGGAGTTGCTGTCCTTCAGTCTGGACGACACCTTCAGAGAGATGAACGAGTTCCAGGAAGACCCGGCCCTTTTCCTGGAGGAGGGGAGCTGGGAGGGGGAGGAGTCGGAGGTCTGTGACCCCACCCTGACTCTGCTCAACGTGCATCACTTCCAGGTGAGAGGTCTCAGGGCCACTGTTTTGAAATTGAAGGGATATAGGGGTTTGTGTCTGGTTTATACAGTTCACTTGTGTGTTTGTTTGTTCATTCACTGTTGACTGTCAACAACATACTCTATTCTATTCCTTTCTATGCTCCTCTTCTCTTCTCTTCTTCTCTTCTCTTCTCTTCTCTTCTCTTCTCTTCTCTTCTCTTCTCTTCTCTTCTCTTCTCTTCTCTTCTCTTCTCTTCTCTTCTCTTCTCTTCTCTTCTCTTCTCTTCTCTTCTCTTCTCTTCTCTTCTCTTCTCTTCTCTTCTCTTCTCTTCTCCTCCAGGAGGACTTTCTGCCCCTGTATGACCTCCACCACTCCTTCCTGTGGCTGACGTTCTCAGGACAGAGTGAGGAGGAGTTACTGGGCCACCTGGAGATTGTCAGGGAGGGGGCCAAGAGAACGGGCATGGCCTGGGCACACCGACGGGCATGCTTCCTACTGGGGAGGCTCTGCGCCAAGAAGCTCAAGTACTCCCAGGTAGGGCAGAAGGGAGGAACACTGGAGTATACACACATATGGACACAGCACATGCACACAAACATTTATGCATACACACACACACACACACAAACACACATGCATGCATATGAGTGTGCTCTTAAATTAACTTCAATGTTCATCTCCCACCCCTCTATCCCAGGCCCGTGTGTATTATGAGGAAGCCCTTGGCGTCTCTGTCGTCGGTTTCTCTGACCTCCCTCTCCTCATCGCCCTGTACACCAACCTCACAGCTGTCTATCTCAAACAGAAGATGGCCGACAAGCTGCCCCCGATCCTGGAGAAGGCCAGTGCTCTGCTCCTCTGCCTCCCCAGCCACACCTTCACCTCCCTGGATGAGTTTGAGCTGCTGAAGCTGGTGCTGCGGAGGTCTGTGGTGGAGGGGGACAAACACCTGGAGGCACGGGCCTGCTACCTCACCGCCAGCCTCTTCCTCCTACTTAGGTGGGTGTTGTCTGTTTTGTCAATGCTCCCAAATGGCATCCTATATCCTATGTAGTGCACTACTTTTGACCAGGTCCCATGGGGCTCTGGTCAAACGTTGTGCACTATATAGGGAATAGGGTGCCATTTTGGACACATCCTATGTCCCTTGTCTTGATATAGCTGTAGCACTTGTGTGTGATTGTGAAAAGTTTGTTATAAATCAAATATATAATTATTATTATTACAATTATTAATATAGAAAGATAGATGACTCCTTGCCCTTCGTGGAGCGTCTCCAGTTCCTCACCGTTACACTGTCTGCTGAGGAGGGACGCCCCATCGCCCCCCTGGACCTCAACTGGCTCCTGTCCCGGCTCTACCACCGTAAATACATGCCCTACCTGGCCCTGGCATCACTCAGCCTGGACTCTGGACAGGACCACTCACTACAGGACGCCTTCCACAGGATAGAACTGTTCAGCAGGAACTCGGTAGGCTATGGTTTGTTTGTTAGGCCATCACATTCTAATATTCCCAAAACAAATGACATATTGATACACAGTATACAACAGACACACTGAAAATAACAGACACACAAAATACAAACCAAAAAATGCTAAATAACATATCATTCTTAAAATGTTTTACATGTACATTTTCCATAGGTGCGTCTGAATCCGCGATGGAAAGAGGGGACGTCTCTTCTCCCGGCCCAGATCGTGGTGTACCTGCAGCAGGCTCTGGCTATTGCGGAGCGGGGTGAGGACCTTAAGACCCAGAGAGACCTGTGTCTGGGCCTGGCCTGTGTGTACCAGCAACACGGGGCCCTGGAGAAGGCCCTGCCCTGTGCCCAGCAGGCTGTACAGACTGGGGGTGGTATCAACGAGGAGGAGGGGTTCGAGGCTTCAGTACTGCTGGGATGGTTGTTAGTCCTGACGGGACAGCCTGAGAGGGCACATAACACCCTGCAGCCACTACTACAGTCTCTACAGGTAACTACAGTATTTAGAGGTAACTACAGTCTCTACAGGTAACTACAGTCTCTACAGGTAACTACAGTCTCTACAGGTAACTACAGACTCTACAGGTAACTACAGGCTCTACAGGTAGCCTCCTGGCAGGCTCATGTTACAGTCGTTTTTAACAGGACTTTTGTAATCAATGAATCAATCAAACCTCTATCTCATCTCTTTCCTTTCAGGGAACCGACAGCCCGACCCAGAGGGGAGTGGTCCACAACCTGCTGGCTCTGTGTCTGCGGCGGCAGGGTCGAGTCCCCGAGGCCGGCAGCCACCTCCACCACGCCCTCACCATCTCCAGGGAGAGTGGCAACCAGAGGAACCAGGCCCTGGCCCTCGCCAACCTGGGCTGCCTGGCACTGGGCGTGGGGGCACCCACACTGGCAGAACGATTCCTGTTCAGGTCAGTAAGGAGGGAGGGTGTGGGGGCAGAGGGCGGCAGTGGGTCAAAAGTGTTTGTTTGTGTGTACAATAGGTGACTGCGTACATCCGTGCGTGTTACGTTTGTAATAATATCAATCCTTTCCTGGTCGGGTTAGTGTTAGTGTCTGTATCTCTACATGTTTGTAGCCTGCTGAGTGGGACTGGTCTGTATCTCTACATGGTTGTAGCCTGCTGAGTAGGACTGGTCTGTTTCTCTACATGGTTGTAGCCTGCTGAATGGGACTGGTCTGTTTCTCTACATGGTTGTAGCCTGCTGAGTTGGACTGGTCTGTATCTCTACATGGTTGTAGCCTGCTGAGTAGGACTGGTCTGTATCTCTACATGGTTGTAGCCTGCTGAGTGGGACTGGTCTGTATCTCTACATGGTTGTAGCCTGCTGAGTAGGACTGGTCTGTATCTCTACATGGTTGTAGCCTGCTGAGTAGGACTGGTCTGTTTCTCTACATGGTTGTAGCCTGCTGAATGGGACTGGTCTGTTTCTCTACATGGTTGTAGCCTGCTGAGTTGGACTGGTCTGTATCTCTACATGGTTGTAGCCTGCTGAGTAGGACTGGTCTGTATCTCTACATGGTTGTAGCCTGCTGAATGGGACTGGTCTGTTTCTCTACATGGTTGTAGCCTGCTGAGTGGGACTGGTCTGTATCTCTACATGGTTGTAGCCTGCTGAGTAGGACTGGTCTGTATCTCTACATGGTTGTAGCCTGCTCAGTTGGACTGGTCTGTTTCTCTACATGGTTGTAGCCTGCTGAGTGGGACTGGTCTGTATCTCTACATGGTTGTAGCCTGCTGAGTTGGACTGGTCTGTATCTCTACATGGTTGTAGCCTGCTGAGTTGGACTGGTCTGTATCTCTACATGGTTGTAGCCTGCTGAGTTGGACTGGTCTGTATCTCTACATGGTTGTAGCCTGCTGAGTGGGACTGGTCTGTTTCTCTACATGGTTGTAGCCTGCTGAGTGGGACTGGTCTGTATCTCTACATGGTTGTAGCCTGCTGAGTGGGACTGGTCTGTATCTCTACATGGTTGTAGCCTGCTGAGTAGGACTGGTCTGTATCTCTACATGGTTGTAGCCTGCTAAGTGAGTGGAACTGTTTCCTAATGTATATCCCTCAGGTCCCTGTGGTTGTTCCTGGAGATCTGGGAGAGTCCCGTTGACGAGGAGCACGTCCAGACCTACCTATGGCTGGGGCGGAGCTACAAGGACAGGGGGAGGAGCCAGGACGTCAGGCTGTGTTATGAGATGGGCCTCCTCATCTCCCTCCACACCAGGAACCTCCACAGTGAGTTACCTTAACCCTAACCATCCACGGCAGGAACCTACACAGTGAATAACACTGTAAAAAATAACCCTAATCCGAAACCTAAACCTAACATTAACCCTAGTTCAACTAAACTACGAAAGACAACAACCAATTACGATCATTGCAAGTAAATCAAAAGTAGCTACTATCTGTCCTCTGTCCTCTTGTGTCTCTGTCCTCTGTCCTCCTGTCTGTCCTCTGTCCTCTTGTGTCTCTGTCCTCTTGTCTGTCCTCTGTACTCTTGTGTCTCTGTCCTCTGTCCTCTTGTCTGTCCTCTGTCCTCTTGTGTCTCTGTCCTCTGTCCTCTTGTCTGTCCTCTGTCCTCTTGTCTGTCCTCTGTCCTCTTGTGACTCTGTCCTCTTGTGTCTCTGTCCTCTGTCCTCTGTCCTCTTGTGTCTCTGTCCTCTTGTGTGTCTCTCTCTAGGTCAGATGGTGGTGGCTAAAGTCCTGAGTCGTCACTATGGTGACGTGCTGCTGTATGGGCAGAGTATCCTCTACTATGAGCACTGTGTGTCTGTGTCCAGGGACCTGAAGGACAAGAGACTAGAGGGAGAATATCTAGAGATCCTCAGCAGCCTCTACCTCTCCCTCAATACTGAAAAGTAGGTTTATATATCTCTCTCTCTACCTCAATACTGAGAAGTAGGTAAATATACACTACATGACCGAAAGTATGTGGACACCTGCTCGTCGAACAACTCACTTCAAAATCATCGGCCTTAATATCGAGTTGGTCCCCTTTTTGCTGCTATAACAGCCTCCACTCTTCTGGGAAGGCTTTCCACTAGATGTTGGAACATTGCTGCAGGGACTTGCTTCCATTCAACCACGAGCATTAGTGAGGTCGGATACTGATGTTGGGCAATTAGGCCTGGCTCGCAGTCGGCATTCCAATTCATCCCAAAGGTGTTCGATGGGGTTGAGGTCAGGGCTTTGTGCAGGCCAGTTAGGTTCTTCCACACCGATCTCGATAAACCTTTTCTGTATGGACCTCGCTTTGTGCACAGGGGCATTGTCATGCTGAAACAAGAAAGGGCCTTCCCCAAACTGTTGCCACAAAGTTGGAAGCACAGAATCGTCTTGAATGTAATTGTATGCTGTAGCATTAAGATTTCCCTTCACTGGAACTAAGGGGCCTAGCCCGAACCATGAAAAGCAGCCCCAGACTATTATTCCACAGTTGGCACTATGCATTGGGTCAGGTAGCGTTCTCCTGGAATCCGCCAAACCCAGATTTGTCCGTCGGACTGCCAGATGGTGAAGCGTGATTCATCACTCCAGAGAACGCGTTTCCACTGCTCCAGAGTCCAATGGCGGCTAGCTTTACACCACTCTATCTGACGCTTGGCATTGCGCATGGTGATCTTAGGCTTGTGTGCGGCTGCTTGGCCATGGAAACCCATTTCATGAAGCTCCCGACAAACAGTTATTGTGCTGACATTGCTTCCAGAGCCAGTTTGGAACTCGGTAGTGAGTGTTGCATCCGAGGACAGGCGATTTGTACACGCTACGCGCTTCAGCACTCGCCAATCCCATTCTGTGAGCTTGTGTGGCCTACCACTTTGTGGCTGAGCCGTTGTTGCTCCTAGACTTTTCCACTTCACAATAACAGCACTTACAGTTGACCAGGGCAGCTCTAGCAGGGCAGGAATCTGACGAACAGACTTGTTGGAAAGGTGGCATCCTATGACAGTGCCACGCTGAAATTCCCTGAGCTCTTCAGTAAGGTAATTCTACTGCCAATGTTTGTCTATGGAGATTACATGGCTGTGTGCTCGATACACCTGTCGAATCCACTAATTTCAAGGGGTGTCCACATACATTTGTATATACACTACCAGTCAAAAATTTGGACACTATTTTTTACGTAGTAGAAAAATAGTGAAGACATCAAAACTATGAAATAACACATATGGAATCATGGAGTAACCAAAAAAGTGTTAAACAAATAAAAATATATTTTATATTTGAGATTCTTCAAATAGCTACCATTTGCCTTGATGACAGCTTTGCACACTCTTGGCATTCTCTCAACCAGCTTTATGAGGAAGTCGCCTGGAATGCATTTCAATTATCAGGTGTGCCTAATTAAAAGATAATTTGTGGAATTTCTTTCCTTCTTAATGCTTTTGAGCCAATCAGTTGTGTTATGACAAGGTAGGGGGTGTATACAGAAGATAGCCCTATTTGGTAAAAGACCAAGTCCATATTATGGCAAGAACAGCTCAAATAATCAAAGAGAAATGACAGTCCATCATTACTTTAAGACATGAAGGTCAGTCAATACGGAACATTTCAAGAACTTTGAAAGTTTCTTCAAGTGCAGTCGCAAAAATAATCAAGCGCAATGATGAAACTGGCTTTCATGAGTACCACCACAGGAATAGAAGACCCAGAGTCACCTCTGCTACAGAGGATAAGTTCATTAGAGTTACGAGCCTCAGAAATTGCAGCCCAAATAAATGCTTCAATGAGTTCAAGTCACAGACACATCTCAACATCAACTGTTCAGAGGGACTGTGTGAATCAGGCCTTCATGGTCAAATTGCTGCAAAGAAACCCCTACTAAAGGACACCAATAAGAAGAAGACCTGCTTGGGCCAAGAAACACGAACAATGGACATTAGACCAGTGGAAATGTGTCCTTTGGTCTGGAGTCCAAATTGGAGATTTTTGGTTCCAACCGCTGTGTCTTTGTAAGACGCGGTGTGGGTGAACGGATGATCTCTGCATGTGTAGTTCCCACCGTAAAGCATGGAGGAGGAGGTGTTATGGTGTAGGGGTGCTTTGCTGGTGACACAGTCTGTGATTTATTTAGAATTCAAGGCACACTTAACGAGCATGGCTACCACAGCATTCTGCAGCGACACGCCATGCCATCTGGTTTGGGCTTAGTGGGACAATCATTTGTTTTTCAACAGGACAATGACCCAACACACCTCCAGGCTGTGTAAGTGCTATTTTATCAAGAAGGAGAGTGATGGAGTGCTGCATCAGATGACCTGGCCTCTACAATCCCCCAACCTCAATCCAATTGAGATGGTTTGGAATGAGTCGGACATCAGAGTGAAGGAAAAGCAGCCAACAAGTGCTCAGCATATGTGAGAACTCTTTCAAGACTGTTGGAAAAGCATTCCAGGTGATGCTGGTTGAGAGAATGCCAAGAGTGTGCAAAGCTGTCATCAAGGCAAAGGGTGGCTATTTGAAGAATCTCAAATATAAAATATATTTTGATTTGTTTAACACTTTTTTGGTTACGACATGATTCCATATGTGTTACTTCATAGTTTTGATGTCTTCACTATTATTCTACAATGTAAAAAATTGTAAAAATAAAGAAAAATCCTTGAATAAGTAGGTGTGTCCAAACTTTTGACTGGTACTGTGTAGTGTATCTCTGTTCAGTCTCTACCTCTTTTTCAATGCTGAGAAGTAGGTTTATATATCTCTGTCTGTCTCTACCTCTTCCTCCAAAATCATGGGCATTAATAGGGAGTTGGTCCCCCCTTTGCTGCTATAACAGCCTCCACTTTTCTGTGAAGGCTTTCCACTAGATGTTGGAACATTGCTGTGGGGATATATATCTCTTTTTTTCTATATATCTCTGTCTGTCTCTACCTCTCCATCAATACTGAGAAGTAGGTTTACCTCATCCGTCCTAATTCTCTCTCCCTATCAACACTGCAAAATAACTTATTTATAGTGAATTACTGTTTTGCTATTCTAAGGTCTTCGAGGAAGTCACTGGACTACACTAAGCAGTGTCTGAGGATTAATAAAGTTATTCAATTCAAACAGATCATCAAGGAAGTCTCTTGACTACAGTAAGCAGAGTCTGCGTATCTCCATCGACCTGGGGAAGAGAGAGGAAGAGTCAGAGACCTGGCTTCAGGTGGGACGCATCTACTACCTCATCCACGAAGACGAACTGGCTGACATGTACCTACAGGTGAGTCCAGAGAGAGAGGGGGTTGAGAGAGAGAGCGGGGGTTGAGAGGGAGAGAGAGAGAGAGAGAGAGAGAGAGAGAGAGAGAGAGAGAGAGAGACTAGCTCTTCCACGAAGAAAAACTAGCTGACATGTACCACCATGAGAGAGGGGGAAGAGCAGGCAAAGAGGAGAGTGAAAGATAGAAGAGGAGAGAAAGAGGGAAGTAGAATAGTGCCTGCATAAACATTATTAACATTATGGACTCTTATCTACTCCCCATACCTGACCTATAATCACACTGGATCATATCATCTTCATAGCATATTTTATCAAATGATGTCACAATCTGTCTCTCTATAAACCTTGTTTACAACATCCTGCGTTGCATGATCCAAATGCCAAACAACAAGGTAAGAGTTTAATGAATTATAGGTCCCATGTTATAGTGCTGGTACTTTGGCATTTCCCAAAATGTAAATACCATATGAGAAGTTCCCTCACAGAATTGGATCAATAAGGTGATTCATTAATTATGGATTGATTCTGATTGGCTGGCAGGCGGCGGTGAAGACAGCCCTGAGGATGAATGACCCTCGCTTCGCCATGAGTATCTACGAGGAGGCAGGAGACGTCTTCTTCAAAGGCCACAGGAACAGGCTGGCATCACTGCCCTTCTACAGGGTATGGATGAGGAGATTTTATTGAATTTAATATACTTCATTGATCACCAGAAGAGGAAATTAGGTTTTGGAGTGTCGATCTACTCCGTGAGATTGCAGATTGTTATGACTTATTGGTAAAATGTATTTCAAAGTTACTTTCTGTATAATAGTTTCAATTCAATTGGAAATGAGTGACACTTAAGATTTTAATTGGACTAGTGTGCCATTTTACACACATTTACAATAGGCTTGTATTTATACCCTGGCCTGAGCCTGTTAAAAGCAACACATTATGACACCAGTGGTTCTCTGCTCTCTGTTTTAGGACGGCAGTCTCCCGTTTGCTCGGAGCATCCGTGACGTCGACTCAGAGTTCAGAATGCTGAGTAAACTGACTGAACTACTGATGACCCAGGAAGAACACGAAGAGGCTCTACAGTACGCCATTCTGGCTGTACAGATCAGTACCAAGACAGGTAATACAGGAGGCAGGGAGGTAGGGAGAGGGAAGGGGAGAGCCAGAGTTCAATTTCCACCTTTATCACCTGGGATTTGAAGCAGCAACCCTTCTGCTTCCAGATACTGGTCTATTAATTCCCTTCATGTAGATAACCATCCTGCTATGTTATTGTCCTCCAGGTGTGGTTGTGAACGAGCGGGCAGCGTACCACCGTCTGGCTACAGTGTACTACAGTCTGGAGCAGTATGAGATGACAGAGAACTACTACCTCAAGTCTCTGTCTCTCAGCCCTGCTGTACTGCAGCACCCCCTGGAGGCTAGATACTACACCAAGCTGTACTGCCGGCTGGGGGACATGACGCTGCACAAACTGAAGGTAAAGTCTCCTGTAGTTCAGTTGGTGGAGCATGGCACTTGCAACGCCAGGGTTGTGGGTTCGATTCCCACAGGGGGCCAGTATGAAAAATGTATGCACTCACTAACTGTAAGTCGCTCTGGATAAGAGCGTCTGCTAAATGACTTAAATGTAAAGGCTCCGGATCTGCAGGGCAGAAGTACTGTTGATTTTCTTTACTATCGGGTAGTTAATTAATCTATATAGGCTTTCCAGTTTAATAGCATTAAAGTATGTGAGAGAGAAGGAGAGATGTCATACTTGAGTAAAAGTGAAGATACCTTCATAGAAAATGACTCAAGTAAAAGTGAAAGTCACCCAGTAAAATACTACTTGAGTAAAATTCTAAAAGTATTTGGTTTTAAATATACTTAAGTATCAAAAGTAAATATAATTTCAAAAATATACTTAAGTATCAAAAGTGAAAGTAAAAGTATAAATCATTTAAAATTCCTTATATTAGGCAAACCAGGCGGCACAATTTTCTTGTTTTTTTTCATTTACGGATAGCCAAGGGCATCCTCCAACACATAATTTACAAATGAAGCATTTGTGTTTAGTGAGTCCACCAGATCAGCAGGGATGTTCTCTTGATAAGTGCGTGAATTGGACAATTTTCCTGTCCTACTAAGCATTCTAAATGTAACGAGTACTTTTGGGTGTCAGGGAAAATGTATAGAGTAAAAAGTTCATACTTTTCTTCAGGAATGTAGTGAAGTAAAAGTAAAAGTAGTCAAAAATATAAATAGTAAAGTAAAGTATAGATACCCCAAAAATCTACTTAAGTAGTACTTTAAAGTATTTTTACTTAAGTACTTTACACCACTGATAGATAGTAACAAACCCTTTTACACAAACCCTCCTCTCCCCCATCTTCCCCCCCTCCCTCCTCTCCTCCATCTACCCCCCACCCTCCCTCTCCCCAGGATGCCTATGACTCAGTGTGCTACTTCCAGCTGGCTCTGGCTGCTGCCCTGGAGGACCGTGCCAACCCACAGGCACTGTATGTGGTCTACATGAAGCTGGCAGAGATCCATGCCAACCACATGCCAGACCCACTGCTCTGCCAGGCTTACAGGGACAGGGCACAGAGCCTGAGGAGAGAACTCTCTGGGCTGGGAGAGATGGAGGGGAGGGGAGGAGAGACCGAGACGGAAGAAAGAGGAGGAGAGATGGAGGGGAGAGGAGGAGAGACAGAAGAGAGAGGAGGAGTAACATGTGATACAGACCTGGAGACGAGAAACACAGACATGGAGGAGACCGAGACAGAGACTGGATGGAGTGAGTCTACAGGTTCTATCCCCAAAGAGGCTATTGACATGGACAGTGCACGGAGCCTGAGGTTGGAGCCTGCTGGGCTACGGGACATGGAGGAGAGAGACACAGAGGGTCAACACACAGGACTGGGAGACATGGAGAGGGGAGACACAGAGGGACACCACACAGGACTGGGAGACAACGAGGAGAGAGACATAGAGTGTCAACACACAGGACTGGGAGACATAGAGGAGAGAGACACAGAGGGTCAACACACAGGACTGGGAGACATGGAGGAGAGAGAGACAGAGGTACACCACACAGGACTGGGAGACATGGAGAGGGGAGACACAGAGGGACACCACACAGGACTGGGAGACATGGAGAAGGGAGAGACAGAGGGACACCACACAGGACTGGGAGACATGGAGAAGGGAGAGACAGAGGGACACCACACAGGACTGGGAGACATGGAGAGGGGAGAGACAGAGACAGGACACCCAGACACTACAGCGAGACAGCATCTAGTCACAGAAAAGAGAGAAACAGAGACTGAGACTGGATGTGGTGACTCTATTGATGCAGAAGCTAATTCCAAAGATGCTAACTGTAAGGATAGCAGCCACACCAATGCAGATAGCCATGAAGCAGATTATGATGTGTTTAAAGGAGACAGAGACACCAGTAACTCAAATCAAGACAAGATCCTCACAGAGGCTACTCACACAGACCAAGACACTGACAATTCAGACACAAGCCCTTGTCAAGCAGACGTTGAACACACACAGACTATACATGACTATACAACAACAAGCAGTGTATTTGTGGACACTACAATAACAGAGGACACTCACAGTACAGACAGAATACCTTGTGACCCTAACAACTTTGAGACTACGCCAACAGACACGCATCAAACATAGCGATTCAACGGCCACAGACACAGATACAGACACACCCTACAAACACAGCCCTACAGACAGCAGTCACACAGACACAGATACAGACATAGACTCTCCTCTCAAAGACAGACACAGAGGTAACCCACGAAGATAGCCGTACAGACACAGACACTCTTCACTCTGATGTTGATTCAGACAGTAATGTTATAAAGACAGACAGACGCCGTTCAGCCACAGACTTACCAGGATGATGATAGATCTGTACACACCCTCACAGATACTCTCCAGAAAGATATTATCACTCCTACAGACATTTACGCAGACAAAGATGTCGGCCATATTTACTATGTCTAGCAATGACAGTGTTTTTTATTAACATTAATATTATGTCTGTATGTAATTATGAATGTGTAACTTTTCTATAGTTTACATACTCTGTATATTACAGAGGTTTATCAAGCTTTTGTAAATATGTAGTTTTTATAACTAAATTAAAGTTATGTATGACTTGAGCTTAGTGTTTGTTTTGTATTATTCAGTTGTAACCAACACTAACATACAGTATAAACTTAGAATAGACTTTCAAAATAACAAACAGTTCATTTAATCTAGTCAATATTTCTAAATAGTTTGTATATCACTGGCCAATACATAATACACTTCAACATACCAGGCCATAATATCACAGAAATATTCAGCGAATAAAGATATTAGGAAAATTCCCCCCCCCCCATTTTCTCAATGGAACATTCCAATTACTGAGCGGGTAGACCTGCTGGATAGCGCTCCTCTGATAAGTCCACAAACAATCCACGGTGGTGGATAGCAAGCAAGCAGTGGTAATTTGTAAGTTTAAACTCTAAAAACCAATGAGTAAATTGCAACCAACAGGCAGACTTAACGCACAGGCCTGGGATTCCTTAAAACGCTACTAACGGGAGATTACATGCACCAGTGTGTTAAAACAAACTCGCGTGCAACCAAAAACCCACAAGAATAAACCAGCAGATCAGTTGATCTCCAGTTGTTACTGAGTCAGACGAGTTAGATACCAGGCAGCTGGGTCTAGGTTCTCTACTCCAGGACCCAATGAAATCTCGACCTATCAAGAACATTGACAATAGCAAGGTTGGTAATTAATCAAAAGTATTTATTGTAAGAATATAGACAAAGTGAATTGTAAGAAACTCGAGTACAGTAAACTCGAGTTGAGTATAGTTCTGTACAGTACAGTACAGTACAGTACATGGGAATATAGTTCAGTTCAGTACAGTGGAGTATAGTTCAGTACAGTGGTATAGTATAGTACAGCACAGTACAGTATAGTACAGTATAGTGCAGTACAGTTGAGTACAGTAGATTGATTAGACTATAATTTAATGAAACATATATTATATTAACGCAATCATGATTGGCTTGAATTAGTTACTATTTTTAGATGTGGACAGTTCAGGAACACTTTATTTTCCACTAGGCCATACTGTATTAAGCCTACTTATTAATGGATGACATACTGTATTAGGACTAGTTATTAATGGATGACATACTGTATTAAGTCTACTTATTCATGGATGACTTACTGTATTAGGACTAGTTATTAATGGATGACATACTGTATGAAGACTAGTTATTAATGGATGACATACTGTATTAGGACTAGTTATTAATGGATGACATACTGTATGAAGACTAGTTATTAATGGATGACTAGTTATTAATGGATGGCATACTGTATTAAGACTAGTTATTAATGGATGACATACTGTATTAAGACTAGTTATTAATGGATGACATACTGTATTAGACTAGTTATTAATGGATGACATACTGTATTAAGACTAGTTATTAATGGATGACATACTGTATTAAGACTAGTTATTAATGGATGACATACTGTATTAGACTAGTTATTAATGGATGACATACTGTATTAGACTAGTTATTAATGTATTACATACTGTATTAAGACTAGTTATCAATGGATGACATACTGTATTAAGACTAGTTATTAATGGATGACATACTGTATTAGACTAGTTATTAATGGTTGACATACTGTATTAAGACTAGTTATTAATGGATGGCATACTGTATTAAGACTATTTATTAATGGATTACATACTGTATTAAGACTAATTATGCATGGGTGACTTACTGTATTAGGACTAGTTATTAACGGATGACATACTGTATTAAGACTAGTTATTAATGGATGACATACTGTATTAGACTAGTTATTAATGGATTACATAAATTGGAAATGAAAGTACGTATACTCGATGAACCAATGTTTTGGCTAGGCAAATCCCCACCTTATCTTAGCTCATTGGTCACCATAGCAGCACCCACCCGTAGTCTGCGCTCCAGCAGGTATATCTCACTGGTCATCCCCAAAGCCAACACCTCCTTTGGCCGCCATTCCTGCCAATGACTGGAACGAATTGCAAAAATCTCTGAAGCTGGAGACTCTTATCTCCCTCACTAACTTTAAGCATCAGTTGTCAGAGCACATTACCGAACACTGCACCTGTACACAGCCCATCTGAAATTAGCCCACCCAACTACCTCATCCCTATATTGTTATTTATTTTGCTCTTTTGCACCCCAGTATCTCTATTTGCACATCATCTCTTGCACATCTATCATTCCAGTGTTAAAATCCAGAAAATCACATTGTATGATTTTTAAGTAATTAATTTGCATTTTATTACATGACATAAGTATTTGATACATCAGAAAAGCAGAACCTAATATTTGGTACAGAAACCTTTGTTTGCAATTACAGAGATCATACATTTCCTGTAGGTCTTGACCAGGTTTGCACACACTGCAGCAGGGATTTTGGCCCACTCCTCCATACAGACCTTCTCCAGATCCTTCAGGTTTCGGGGCTGTCGCTGGGCAATATGGACTTTCAGCTCCCTCCAAAGATATTCTATTGGGTTCAGGTCTGGAGACTGGCTAGGCCACTCCAGGACCTTGAGATGCTTCTTACGGAGCCACTCCTTAGTTGCCCTGGCTGTGTGTTTCGGGTCGTTGTCATGCTGGAAGACCCAGCCACGACCCATCTTCAATGCTCTTACTGAGGGAAGGAGGTTGTTGGCCAAGATCTCGCGATACATGGCCCCATCCATCCTCCCCTCAATACGGTGCAGTCGTCCTGTCCCCTTTGCAGAAAAGCATCCCCAAAGAATGATGTTTCCACCTACATGCTTCACGGTTGGGATGGTGTTCTTGGGGTTGTACTCATCCTTCTTCTTCCTCCAAACATGGCGAGTGGAGTTTAGACCAAAAAGCTCTATTTTTGTCTCATCAGACCACATGACCTTCTCCCATTCCTCCTCTGGATCATCCAGATGGTCATTGGCAAACTTCAGACGGGCCTGGACATGCGCTGGCTTGAGCAGGGGGACCTTGCGTGCGCTGCAGGATTTTAATCCATGACGGCGTAGTGTGTTACTAATGGTTTTCTTTGAGACTGTGGTCCCAGCTCTCTTCAGGTCATTGACCAGGTCCTGCCGTGTAGTTCTGGGCTGATCCCTCACCTTCCTCATGATCATTGATGCCCCACGAGGTGAGATCTTGCATGGAGCCCCAGACCGAGGGTGATTGACCGTCATCTTGAACTTCTTCCATTTTCTAATAATTGCGCCAACAGTTGTTGCCTTCTCACCAAGCTGCTTGCCTATTGTCCTGTAGCCCATCCCAGCCTTGTGCAGGTCTACAATTTTATCCCTGATGTCCTTACACAGCTCTCTGGTCTTGGCCATTGTGGAGAGGTTGGAGTCTGTTTGATTGAGTGTGTGGACAGGTGTCTTTTATACAGGTAATGAGTTCAAACAGTTGCAGTTATTACAGGTAATGAGTGGAGAACAGGAGGGCTTCTTAAAGAAAAACTAACAGGTCTGTGAGAGCCGGAATTCTTACTGGTTGGTAGGTGATCAAATACTTATGTCACGCAATAAAATGCAAATTAATTACTTAAAAATCATACAATGTGATTTTCTGGATTTTTGTTTTAGATTCCGTCTCTCACAGTTGAAGTGTACCTATGATAAAAAATTACAGACCTCTACATGCTTTGTAAGTAGGAAAACCTGCAAAATCGGCAGTGTATCAAATACTTGTTCTCCCCACTGTATATATTTTCTGTTGTATTTTTTGACTTTATGTTTTTTTACCCCATATGTAACTCTGTGTTGTTGTTTTTATCGCACTGCTTTGCTTTATCTTGGCCAGGTCGCAGTTGTAAATGAGAAGTTGTTCTCAACTGGCTTACCTGGTTAAATAAAGATGAAATAAAATAAAAGAAAGATGCAATTTTCAGCAAAACACATACAATTTCCATACACCATCGCACAACAGGTTGAAGTCAAGAGGGGTTTCTTTGCCATGATGCCATCAATGGGTTCCCAAATATGAACGGAATAGATGGCACCCACATCGCCATAAAAGCACCATCCCAAAATGAGTCCAACTATGTGAACAGAAAAGGCTTCCACTCTTAATGTGCAGATGATAGGTTATGTGATGCGTAATGTGGTGGCAAGCTGGCCAGGTGGAACGCACGACGCGTTCATTCTGCAGAACAGCAATGTTGACCTAGAAGCCTACAAGCGGAAGCTGTTGAGGACGGATGGCTTATTGGTAAGTGTCGCCTACTTATTTGAAGTCCCATATATTTTCCATTGCCAAAGCAACTTGAATTGTCCTAATGGTCCTCTCTCTACAGTTATATTAAACATTTTACTGGTCAAGCCACAACTGAGCGAGCCAAATAAAAAACGTTTGTATAAAAAAAGCCATGGCTGTGCACGTGACTTTCCCCACAGTCCCGTTAGGGTGACTTCTCCCCTTCTCAGCTGTCTATCACAGCCTCCTGGTTTCCACCAATAAGAGGGCCCGAATTGGACTCTGACCACTTCCACTCCAGGTCAGAGTGACTCACATTTGGCTGCCGACCAAGTTATCAGTGTGTTTACTAGGAAGATTTTGTGTGCATCCATAAAGTGTGATGAGGG